CAGGGTGTGTGGTTTTTTTGTTTTTTTTCTGTCCACCTTTTTTTTTCTTCTTTTTTTATTGTATTTTTTGTTGTTATTTTGTTTGTTTGTGTTTTCTGTTTTTTCGTCTTGTGTGTGTCTGATTGGAGTGTTTGGGGTTCTGATTGGCTCTGGTTCTGGGTCCACTGTCCCCGGGCCCGCCTGTGCTGCTGCTGGAGTTGGAGCATCAAGATGACATTTGTGGTGATTTGGTGCTTTATGAATAAAACTGAATTTCCAACATTAAAGTTCAACAGGGCGTCCTGCTGCCTCTGTCAGTTTTCTAGATAAAAAGGCACAGGACTTAAAACCTATGAGTTATGAGGGCTGGAAAGAGGATTCAAAGGGTCCCTAAAAAGATCAAACAGCAACAAAAATTGTGGCTGAGCTAGAGCAACAAAATGAGCTGGAAGAAGCCTTTTACTAATCAGCTGGGAGAAAGCTGAGTGGAGGTGGTAGCAGAAAACGCTCCAGAAACTGGACAAGTAGCAGAATGTACTAAAATGTACATGAGAATAATCTAAAATGTTTCTTTATCAAAGGAAACACTGTAATGTGTTCCTGTATTGGTAAAGAAGGATCCACTCCAAGCCTCACAGACCACAATCATCCACTGACTGTTCAGTAATCTGTGTGGACTGATGCGTTCACTGACTCCCTGTGAGGCTGAGTCCTGTCTGCCTGCTGCTCCTTTCATCCATTGTGGATGTTTTAGCTCTTCTCGTGGACCCAGCTCCACACATAATCCATAGAATAATAAAACTTCAAACTGAAGTGTGTCTGAAGTCTTTTTCCACAGTCCTGCTGCCTCCTGCATGTTAGTGGAACCTGGACGTGTGTCCCTCTCTCTTATAGAAGAGATATGTGCTGCTGACCTAAGGATAGCATCTATAATATCTACATCAGGGTCTGGATCAGACAATATAGAACTATACAGCTCAGGATTATCACAGGGTTACTCAGATTCAGCCTCAGTGATCTTCTAGGTTTGGGAAAGGAGACTGGCAGTAGCAGGCTCTGCAAGAGAATAAATAAGACCTCCAACCCACACAGGACCAGAGTTTAGGAGACAGAAACATTTCTTTATGTAGACATCCGGATGAGATTAATTTACCTTCTGCTGAAGCAGAAATCTCTTCAAAAACTATTTACTCAAAAACAATTCAAACCAAAATAAATGTAAAACAAAAATATAGTAATAGCTCACAAATTTAGGAAAAACAAAACAGTAAATAAACCACTTTACTTCCAACGTTCCCCGGTTTCCAACTATCATTCCTTCTTGGCTAAAACAAACCAACCTGAGGTTCAGACAGAAAAAAGGGTCAAAACAAAGGATAAGGAGCTCTCAGATGGGTTTCCTTTGGGCTTGGTTCCTGGTACAGAAAGCATCCCTGTCCCCCGTCCTGACACGCAGAAAGCATCCACAGCTGTAATGAAGTCCTGGACCACGGTGAAGCAGTTCCTCACATGGCACAGATGGAACTGTCCCTAAAAAAACAGTCTGCACACAGGTATGCAGAACCATTAGACTTCTACACTTTAATGTATTTTCTTCATTTATTGTCCTTTGTTTTAAAGTAAAATTTCAGTTAACTATACAAATGAATGACATAGTCACTAAATGTTTAATCATCGTGGTGGTGATTTTTCATGACATTGTGAAGGATTTATATTAATTATTTGGTTAAATGGTTAGCACTTTGTTTCCTCCCGGCCTAATTTAGCCGCGGCCTGCTAACGAGGCTATGTCCAGTTCAGGTGCATTAGGTGGCTGCACGGTGTGTTTGTGTGATGCGTGCCCCCCACCCCCCC